CCAAAGGCAACGGCGCGCGCGAGCTATGCTCCCGATACTATAACATCTCCCAAAAACCTACCCTTAAAGTCAGGGGAGGGGGCGGGCCTACACTGAGCTTCATGGCACGAGGCGCAGGACTCCGCTTGCACGGTGGAACGTGCTGGGCGTCCGAGGCGACCATGGCGGGGCCCACACGACTGACCCTTTTAGCACACTGCAGGAGTACACTGTCCCTTGCCTTGAGCTTCCGACGCAACTCCGGATCCAAGCCAGAGTACTCCGAAGCCTGCTGGCATAACGATCGGCTAAGGCATTTCCCGCTTTGTGGAAGGGCTCGACACGGCCAGCTTCCACAGCGGCGCGGGTGGCATGTCCCCAGACCGTGACGACGCCGACGAGATCACGACCCCCCCAGTCAGAGATCTTTTGCCACACCGCGCGCCACACCTCGGCCCATGCCGAAACACTGGAGCAACATAGCGCTGGGCCTCGCTCGAGGCCATTCACGACGAAGGCGGAGTCGCTGTAAAAAACAACGCCTGGCAGAGAGAACGAGAGCGCCTGCAACAGCGCCCACAGCTCAAGCAAGTCTATGTCCGCCACGAGATAGTCGAGTGACCCAGCTAAAATAGCTTCGGCCCTACACGAGTCAGGGGACACCAGTACACAAGACCAACCTAGCCATTGGTGCGCTCCTCCTCCTCCTCCTCCTCCTCCTCCTCTGCCTCCTCCTCCTCCTCCTCTGCCTCCTCCAGCTCGATGCCACTTTCAAGAGGCACCCTCGTCAGAGATGCCCTCACACAGAGATGCCCTCACACAAACAACACTTGAGCCTGGCCCCGCCTCCCTCCTCCAGTCCTCCTCTCGCGCGGCACCTCGGATCTCTTTCCTCCTCCCTTTCTCCTCCCCGATCCTGCATCCTCCCTGCCCGCCGTGCTCGAGTCGAGGCATCGCCACGAGTTGCCCCAGCATGGCTCCTCCCTGACCGGCCCCTGCAGTCTACCAGGGGATCGTGCCCGCGCCCTCGGCGCCCGCGGCCTCCTCCGTCGGGCCGGGGCCGCTCCCGGACCTCTGCCGGAGCACCACTCGACCACAGAAGTGTACCCATCGGTCGGAAGAAGTAGGCAGAAAGATGAAGTAGGAAGGCGTTGGAAATAGATTGGGCATCCGCCCGCCTCCTGAAGAGGAGGGAGGAGGGAAAGCCACTCGACTCTTGAAGCAGGAAGGCGCCGAAAGCAGATTGGAATCTGGAGATCCAAAAACACCCACTTTCAACGACCGGTGGGTAATCAAATGGTTCGTCTGGGTCTGACCCCTCCTCGCTCCCCTCCCCTCCCCCTCGGAGCCAAGAGTTTCGAGAATGGTCCAAGCGAAGCGGGCCAAACCACCTCTGGCGCAGCACCTCGGAGCCCAGTTGCGAGGATGTCTCAAGCGAAACGCGCCAGACTACCTCGCGCTTATTTTTTGAGAGCCCTGAGTTGCGAGGACGCCTCAAGCTGGACCACCCCGCGCACATGTTCAAGGAGTTTGGAGTTGCGAGGATGTCTCAGGCGAGACGCGCCAGACCACCTCGCACGCAGCATCTCGGAGCCTCCAATCGCGAAGATCTCTTAAAGGAACGGGCTGGACCACCTCGCGTGCAACATCTGGGAGCTCAGAGTTCCGAGGATGTCTCAGGCGGCGCCCAGACCCCTCCCAGGGCACAATTCGACATCAGAAATGTGAACAAATGGCTCGTGTGGGTCTGACCCCTCTCCAAGCGAAACGGGCAAGACCATCTCGTGTGCGACATCTGGAAGCTCAGAGTTCCGAGGATGTCTCAGGCAGCGCCCAGACCCCTCCCAGAGCACAATCCGACAACAGAAATGTAATTGAATGGTCCGTTTGGGTCTGACCCCTCTTCCCTCCCCTCTCCTCCCTCTTCTCGGAACCTAAAACGTTCCGAGGATGTCTCAGGCTACACGGGCCAGACCACCTCGCCCGCAGCATCTCGGAGCCCCGAATTGCAAGGATATCTCAAGCGAAACGGGCCACACACCCTTGCACACATTCTTTGAAAGCCCAAAGTTGCGAGGATGTCTCAGGCGAGACGAGCTGGACCGCCTCTCGCGCAGCATCTCGGAGCTGAGGGGTGCGAGGATATCTCGGGCGAAAGGCGCTAGACCACCTCTCGCGCGGCAGCTCGGAGCTCAAGAGTTGTGAGGATGTCTCAGGCGAAAGGCGCTAGACCACCTCTCGGGTGGCAGCTCAAAGCGCAGAGTTGCGAGGATGTCTCAGGCGAAACGGCCCGGACTACCTCGCGCACGGAATCTCGGAGCCCCGAGTTGCGAGGATCTCAAGCGCAACAAGCCAGACCACCTCGCGCGCGGCATCTGCGAGGATGTCTCAGGCGAAGCATGCCGGACCACCTCGCGCGCGGCATCTTCGGGCTTCAAGTTTCGAGGATGTCTCACGCAAAACGGCCCAGAACACCTCGCGCGCGGCGTCCCAGAGCCCAGATGCTCGATGATGTCTCAGGCGAAACGGCCCCGAACACCTCTCGCACACCATCTCGGGGCTCAGAATGTCGAGGATGTCTCAAGCGGAACGGCCCAGAATACTTCGCGCGCGGCGTCCCGCAGCCCAAATGCTCGAGGATGTCTCCAGCGAAACGGCCAATCCTGGACAAATTAGCAGAAACGAGAATTGTGAGGATGCCTCGAGCGGAAGGGCCCGGAGCACTAGATGAGTTTGAGGAGGTCTCTGCTGCCCTTCCCCTCGGCCGGGGCTAGCCTCTACAGCTGCAGCACCCCTTTCCGCAAGCTTCTGGGGGAATCAGCTCGCACACCGATGCCGCTGCCCTCCCCTGATGCTCGCTTTTTGTTGCGCTCTCTGGGGGGCCTTCGTCGCCACGGCGCCAGATCCAACTTGGATTCTTGGTCAGAACACACCGTGGGATACAGTCGGGGCGTTGACCTAAGGAACCCGAAATAAGGAACAAGGCCCCTCTTCTCCATAAGTGGAATTTCGATTTCCCATGCGAAAACCTAAGGGAAACCTGAGGCAAACTGTACAACAATCAAGGAACACCGAGGCCCTCCCCAACGAACAGCGTTCCTTCTTCAAGGCCCCGACTGTAGGTCCAGGGAGTGCACCTCCACCAATAATTTGCCAGGGGCTTACAAAACTGTGGCGAAAACATCAGGAAAACAGAGTCGTCAACGCGCAGCACCTGCCAGTACACCGATGGCCCCGAGATGCGCTTCATGGACGGCTCGGACGTCAATATCGGTATGCCCAAGACCCTGAGTCATGAAACATCGGGTGTCCCAGAAGCGCAGATGACCCTCCAAAAAACTGCGACGATGATTTGATCCATGATTGGATCGTCGCATTCAAGACAAAGGTGGAGCTCACTCTCCAATTTATGCTTCGCTGGCTTTCCTTGTCCACAACGCACACAAGCGGACACGCCCAGCAACATTTGACAGCCGTTAAGTCTGCGGATGCTCCCAGTCGGTGCCGGGAGCAGGGTGGCGCGGGCACTTGCGGCGGCCTCGAAATTGCTGCTGAGTGCCGCCTGTTGTCAAATTCTGTGCATGGCTGGCGTCAGATGTTCTGGGGACATCGACATTGACCTCTCCAGGAATAAAAAATACTTTCCTTGGATTCTGCCAAGCTTCCATTGACTTCCACCAGCGAGATCAGCATCGTATAAATTCCCCAGACATCGGCAGGAATTCCGTTCGCTTTCGCCTAGAGGCGGTCTCTTGATGAAGAGGCCTCTCCAGGAATCGCCCGCATCAATGACTTGAACTTTAATGCCCTGACAGCCGAATCCTGTTATCCCGTCCTCAATTGTTGTTAATTACGCAGGGGGCGTGTTTTAGTTTTCCATTTTTGGGGTTGTGATCTACCAAAACGGAGACAAAACGGTGGCCCAAAACGGATTGAAAACGTTGTGCTCGAGCCAAACACAAAAAAACGAAGTGCCAACACGGGGTGTCGACATTGCCCAAACATGACCGGCATTTGTAGGGAATCTGAAAACGTATTGAAAAGTTGCCCAAAAAATAGAAACAGCGCGGCAAGGCGCAACTCCGTACCAGATCTGAAGACGGAAAGAAAACTGCCATTGAAAACGAATAAAAAATGGAGCTCGCAACTGAAAGAACAGAGTGGCCCACATTCCGCAAAAAGGAGAAAAAAACGATCACCAAAGCGGAAAGATAGCGTCGATCTTGAAAACGGAAAGAAAACGCCCCCAGCGTTTTTTAAGAACATCTAAGGTCCCGTCTGGCACAATGATACTTCCTTGTCGCTGACATGACACTGAGATAACGGCACTGACCGATGCCCGAGAGATGCAATGCTCGATAGTCTTACTTGATTCATCGCGCATTCCCGCCACAACCTCAGGCAGCCGCGCACCCTGCAGTCTTCCACCAAGAGCCACGAATAATTGATTATGCAATCAACTTTGGATTGTAAATTTGATGAGGTGGTTTGAAGCATTACGAATATAAGGCGAAGTCTTGAAGGCCATCATACCGCCTTGACACACGCTCCCCACCACGATTTGACACTTCCTCCTCCTCCGCCTCCTCCTCCTCCTCCTTCACCACTTCCTCCGAACCGAGCGTGGCTCGCAGTCGCGCGTTAAGCCCCAAGACCGCCTCTCGTGGTAAAGGCGCCCCTGGATCGATGGGGAGTCACCCCCTCCTCGAACCCGTGTCCACACAGCCTGCCCCCGCTCCCTGTTCCAGGGGAGGCGGAGGCGTAGGAGTTGGGCAGGGTGGCTAAGAGACGGCGACGGCGGCGGCGACGACCTCCGGGCCTATCCTGGGATGTGTTCTGGCAAGAACTTCGGGTGCAATCTGGCCGTGGCCACGGAGAGCGCCCCAGGACACCCCCTCCAAATGGCACCAAAACACGCCCCAGAACCTCGATCTTGGATCCTCGATCCTCGATCGGCGACGATGACCACGACGGCTGCGGCAACGACGGCGACGGCGGCGACGACGACGAGAAGAGCCCGCCTTCGCATTCGCCGCCGCCAGCTCTGCTACGGTCCGGGTGGCTCTCTCCTCGCAGGGAGTCTCTGTCGGCAGCCGCGCTGGATGCAGGCATCTACTCCTCCTCGCCCTTTTTTGGGGTCGTTGGTGATTCGTTTTGTTGTCTATGCTACGCTAGGGCGAGGACGAAGTCATGATACGATTGGCTCAACATCTGCTCCAAGAAGTATGTCAGATCTACAGGCCCTCATTTCTGCAGACCGTGTGGAACATGAGGAGCTCCTGAAAATGAGCATGAGGAAACCTTGAAAATCATGGATATCTAGGAATGAATCATTATCGTGGCCTCTTGCTCCTCTGATCCGCCACCGTGCCTTCAGCGCGCAGTCGAGTGCCCCAAGGCTCACGCAGTTCTGAGAGGTGGATAGAGACTTCGTGCATTCTCATAGGGTCAGGATCACGCTATTCCCAAAATTTGTGTGCCCTCCTCGGGGCTCTTACGTCTCGGGGACGGTGGCCCCTGCCCAAGAGGCCCCCCAAGAAGACTCCGAAGGACCAAAATCACAAATCCCCATGCTGTTTCTGAGCGACTTTTTAAATTTCTCGCCTTTTCTAGCTTTCGACGCTCCTAGACGGCCTAAGGAGCCACCACTATCGCCCCGCTATGACCCAAGAGGTCCCCAAGACGCCCCCAAGATTGCCCTAGAAGGCCCCACCAGACACTCTGTTTCATGCCGAGCTCACCGCCACAACTTCGGAACCGTGGTGGCGCGATGCGCAAGTAAACGCAGTAAGTGGTGGCGGGCCGCCAACACAACATGTTTATATGTACAAGCGAACGAGTTGGCTACAAAGGAAAGGACTAAGCACAACATTGGAGGAGCGGTCGCAATCACAATGGCAAGCGCAACTCACCGCGGTCTCCACATGTGTGCCTAGACGCAACGGGGTAATCCCACCAGCCCTCTAGGAGTCGGTGATCTTACGGTGCCTTCTTTTCTCTTCCAAGACCCCTCTTCCCGTCAGGGAGGGGTACCCTGCCCTCCCCTCCCTGAAGTTTTTGGGGGGCTCCGCGACGTCCCTTCTCGCCCAAGATGGCTCCAAGAGGGCCTTCGATGCTCCAAGATGGCCTCCAAGATGGGTCATGATAGCCGACGATGGCTCAAGATGGCTTCAAACATGTTCCAAGAGGCCCCAACGACCGCTCCAAGACGCCCCCAAGTTCTCAGAAGCCAAATTCGCTAATGCATCTAAAGCACATCACTGATGTTCGCCATCTCGTCGTTTCGCTTCCGACTGGCTTCTGAGGCCTCAGGATGGCCCTAATATGGACAAGAGAGCCCCAAGGAGGGCCCAAGAGGCCCCCTACACGGCGACAAGAGCGCCCAAGAGCGCCCAAAGAGGGCCCCAAGAAGCGGGTTCGAATGGTCATGAGGGCGGGGGGGGGGGAGTGGAATTAGGGGGCACCCCCTCCTTTGACCGATGGCCTTAAATATTGCCCAAAGACAGCCACAAGAGATCAGCAACAAAAACCTCAAGAAGACCCCAAGATGGCTACCAGAGTTCTTGTCCTCGACGTCATCCTCCTCCTCTTCCTTCTCCTCCTCTTCCTCCGCCTCCTTCTAGTTCTCGTTGTCTTCGTTATGGCTTCCTCTTCCCCATTGCCATCCTCGTCCTCATCCTCATCCTCGTCGTCCTCTTCCTCCTCGTCATCTTCTCGTCGTCCTGTTCCTTCTCATCCTCGTCCTCGTCCGCGTTTTCTTCCTCCTGTTCCACAATATGCATATATTCTTACCTGAAAAAGGCAACCCGCCTGATCATCGCTTTAGGATCTCTTCCGCCCGTGTCCCGCCAGCTCCCATCGGTAACGTGTCTGAATGGGCTGGCCTGATACGAGAAGCGTGAAAAAAGGATTCAACCAACCACCGATTAAAACGTGCCCAGTACTTTTGACAACCAACTTTCGGGCCAGGGATCAAGTACGAACACATACTGGAAACAATGATGCGTCGTGCCAGTCGGGCTCAACAGCAACATCCGCAATGGCCGCGTGCAAAGTTAGATCCCCCCAGCGGCCCTGCGCACATTGGCGATCAGACCCCCGTCGAGCAAGGAACATATGCTCAAATCCTGGCCCACCCACGCCAGTGCGCAGACGAAGCGACGTCGACCCCCGTTGGCGCATGCCAGCAATCACAAAAATCTAACCCCCGGCCCACGCGCGCGGACGAGTTCAGGCTGACCCCCGTCGGGAGGGGACCCCATTTCTAACGTTTATTCGGAAATCCAACGTATCCTGCTCTCCGTCCTCCCCTCATCCATCCTCCCTGCTCATGGTCTTGGTCGTCGTCGCCCTCTTCGTCCTGCTCTGAGGGTGGTTCTGGGCACCGAATCTACACGGGCCAGGTGACCCACCTGGTCTTCGTGGGTGTTCCAGGGTCCCGGCCTCATTGAGGCGGAGCTTTGGGTCGGCACCCTCGGGGGAGGTGCCGCTATTTCGATGAAAGCTGCGCGGATGAACATGGTCGCGGCCTTCGGGCCTGCTCAAATACGGTGAACGCTCAGCCTTGTAGTTGTATTTGACCGCAGGGGCCTACGTACTTGGTGCTGCGGTCGCCGTGCCTTGACAGCTCCAATTTTTGTCTGAACGTCTTCGGTCGCGCCACCGAGCTTCCCCCGCTCTGTTTTTGCCTGCTCTCTGTAAGACTTTCATCCTGGCGGTAATCCTGGCAATATTTGCGAAGCCTGAGGGAGATATCTATGTAATGCCGGATGAACAAAGCCCTTCTTGATTATCATGCTACCCTCTCGTTCTCCTTTTCATTCTCCTTCGCCTCATCGTCCTTGTCCGAACCCTCCGTGCCCTCGTCCTCATCGAAATAACTACTGTCTCCTTGTACTCCTCCTCCTCCTCCTCCTCCTCCTCCTCCTCCTCCTCATGATTCTCCTCCTCCTCCTCCTTCTCCACCGCACTGCACTCATCCTCCGCTTCCTCTTCCCAGCCACCGCTCCAATGAGCTCGCCAGGTGGATTATGGCGTTCAGCTTAGACGCCTGCATTTGTGGGGTGATCTTGCCCTTGGCCTCTAGGTCCTCGATGCCAGGAGGTAATATATGAAGGATGTGAACTGGACGGCGAGGAGGGCAAGGGGATGAGTGGAGGAATAAGGATGTATAGGGGGTGATGGTGACGGCGATGGTGATGATGCTCACGACGATAAGCAAGATGGAGGGAGAACGAGAGAGAGAGATGGGGGAGGATGAAGCAAGAGAGAAGGACCACAAGGAACACGGGGAACATCGTCAATCCATAATACAATAGCAGGGAGAGGGCGAGGAGGATGCCAAAAGAGGCTCGAAGACGAGGAGGCCGAGGAACTGGAGGGGGAGCATAAGGAGACGGAGTCGGGAGGAGTTGGAGGGAGGAGGTGGAGGATAAGCATCATGAGGGGGGGAGGGATGGAGAGGAGGAGAAGGAAGACCATGATACACCTCACGTGCATCAGCGATGCTCCAAGACAACGTTTTGTTTGGAGTCTCCTGCTCATGCGTCCATACAAACATTCATCTTCATTGCGAGAAACTCTCACCTGCTTGAAAGACGAGCGCCCTGTGGGACCCGCAATCCAGGCGGAAACTCGTTTTGAATGAAGCCGCCTTCCATCCTTCCCGTTCGATCGAATGCAGCCGCGGTCGGTTTAATGGTCGGAGCAATGTCCACGGACATCCCCACTTTCACAGAAAAAAGGGAACCGCAGTGGAAACGTGCAGCACTCGCGCAAACTGTAGCTTCTGGTCATCCGATCTAACAAAGTCTCAACCGACAACCCCATTCTGAATATGAATCCCCATCCGTCCACCCAAATGCTGCACACCTTTACGCGTGTGGTAGTTTGGTTGGGAGATTTTTCGTCGAGGCCCTCATTTTGAACATGTCGTGGACCTGATCCGTGTAACTGATGGCGGCGTGTGAGACGAATGTGCGCGACACTAAGGCTACGAACACATTCTAGCCAACGTAGACCCAAAACAATGATTTCTTGAGATCTACGCGGTGCCGTCTACGTGGTGCATTGTTTAAATTTTTTAAAACGAACGAGCTGACACACCCCGTGCTGTTGCAAACATCCCTCCCGCCCATCCGCAATTTGGTTTGCAAAACCCATGCGGTGGCGATTGCGATGCATGCTCGGCGTTGGCTGGTGCATCCCTGCGACCGTGCCAATCCAAGCACGCGCGCCCAACGGCCAGCTAGTTTGGCGCGACCGACGCGGCCGCGGTGGCGCTGACCGCTGGGCACATCCCAGCGGGCGCTTCACTGCGAGTCGGCGAGTTGGGCGGGCGCGGTACCATGGCAACGTCGACAACGGCAGACACGATGATGATAGTAGCGATGCTGGCGACGATGTTGGCAACGACGAGGGCGTGGCCAGTTCGGGCGCCGATGCTGATCACGCATACGACGATGACGGCGTCTTCGCGCTGGTGGTGAAGATGTTGAAAAGAGTTCGACATGCGCGCGCGGCCGACACGCGAGAGTGGCCCGCGCGATATTATTTGACACGGATCGTGCCCCCCCCCCCCAAGCGCGCAAGGGCGCGCGAAGTATGTCGGCATGCGGCGCCAGAGGCCCGTTTGGCAGAATTCCATGAAACTGTTGATCGGAAGTTGGAGGGTGAGATCGCGGTGAAACGGAGACCCCTCACCGGGAAATCGGTTTCGGTTTCGCGTTCGTGTCGCGCGTGCGGGTGAGGCGAAGCTACGCGTGATCCTCCTGCAGCCAGGCCGAAGTACGAGCGAAAGTCCGTTTCCCGTCCGCCGGTGGCCGGGAGGTGTCCCAGTTGGGCCGGGCGGTGTCCCGGGTGTCCCGGGGGTGTCCCGGGCGTCCCGGCGCTAACGCATGCCGGCGCTAACGCGTCTGGCGCCTGCGGCGGGCTTTCTTATCCAATCCAGCTTATGTTTTCCAATCCATCTTGTCCAATCCAATCCACCTTATCTTATCCAACCCATCTTGTCACATCTTATAATACTCCACCCAATCCAATCCACCCAACCCAATCCATGAATTCATTTGTTTCTGCGCCTGCGGCGGGCCAATCCAATCCATCTTATATGATCCAATCCATTTTTCCCAATCAAACCCATCTTATCATATCCAATCCATCTCATCCCATCCAATCAACTCAACCCAATCCATCCATTCATTTTTGTCGGCGTCTGCGGCGGGCTTTCTTATCCAATTCAGCTTATCTTATCCAATCCGTTTTTTCCAATCCATCTTGTCCAATCCAACCCATCTTGTGTCAATCCCCCCAGCCTCCCTATCGCCCGCAGAGCGGCCGTATAGGTAAATCTAGAGTTCCCGTAAGAATTCGCAAGGGTGCGAGCGCCCGCTCTTGAAAACAAGCGTTGCGAAACCATGTGTGTTTTATATGTGTGTTGGGCACTCTGTTGTGAAATTTCTACGACGCTGACGGTGTTGTTCAAGGATTTCGGCATGCGCGCGCGACGGCGCTCGCGCGCACGTAGTCCCACCTGTTGCAACATATTCTCGCGACGGCACGCGCGCAAGGGCCTTCGAATGATGTCGACGCGCGCGCGCGAAACCTGTTTGGAAACATGTTATGAAAATGTTGAAACACATACGATTGCCTTGAGAATTCGCAAGTGCGCGCGCATTTTCTGGTTGTTGAAAATTCCGTGTGGTGAAACCACGTTTTTGATATTTTTTTGACGCTCGGTTCTGATACCCTTACGACATCTGAAGTTTTTGAAATCGACGCGTGGCGGCGAGCAGGCCAGACCGCCATCGCAGCTCAGTTATCTTAGAAAGCAAGCAAAGACCCCTAAGCGCAACCACTCTTGGGGAATCTTGAAAACCACTAGCCCTCCATCCGCGTACCTTTGGGTACTTCTAAGGCGAAAGTGCGCGGCGCTAAAACAAGAACCACATTCTGAAAACGACCAGCCGTACATCCGCGTAAATATTTGCAGCGCGACGTTTCGGGGCATCGCAAAGTGAATCAATCTCGAGCGAAACGCACGGCCCAGCCTACGGGCGCGTCTGGCGGCGCGACAGGACGGAATTTGATCAAGAAAATGGATGGCAGAGGGAGACGAGGAGGGAAACGAAAAGCGCTGTTTGGGCTCGACGCTCGCACCGCTGATGACTGCCTCCTGCAGAGCGGGGCCTGCAGGAGCGAGGGCAGGCTGGATGCCTCGCCTGTGGAGGCCAGGCTGCTCCCCCCGAAAGGCCACAAGCCGCCCGCTGTAGAGCTTCACCCGCAGGGGAGACCGACCGCGGCCGGCGGAACTGAACCACTGGCCGAAGCAACAAACAAAAAACAAACGGCAGGGCGCTGCCGCCGCAAGAATGCGCGGAGCGAGTGCGCCTTCCCCCTGAGGCGGGGTGCCTGGCACGCGCGCAGACAGGACGCACCGCGCACGCGCGCGCACATGCGCGAGATAGACACGAGACGACGCCAGGACGACGAGGCTCCGCCGACACCTGGCGTAGACAACGCCAGGACGGTGGCGAAGCCTCGCCCCTGGTGCGGGCCTAAAAGGTCCCCGCTGTCGGGCTGCAGATGCTGCAGCTCTTCGCGTGCATCCACGGTGTCGAAACAAGCCATGCAGTCGTCGGTGCCAACCGTGGTTCCACGCTTCCTGAAGGAAAACTGGGGGCGCTAGCTATTGCAAAGGTACCCCCGCCCGTAGAGAGCTTCATGCGTCGGAGGCGTCGTGCAGCGCTCGGCTACGCCTCGAACCGAGGCCCCCGAACAGTAACACTTGCAGCGCAGACAGGTGAGAAGGACTGGCCCATCCGAGCATGGGGGCACCACTGCGCGGTGGCCCAATTCTTGCTGCCGGGACGCGTGCAACTTTGAAATGTTGGCACAGTGGCCTGGAGGTGGCGCGCTCCCTGCGCGCCTATCTCTGGGGCACTGCACACCTTCAGATTCCACGCAATCTCTCATACCTATGCGGCACCTGCGGAGCCAGAGAGCCGCTGGGCGCCGACAAAGGCGGAGAGCATGGGACATCTAAAGGCAGCTTCGGCCATGGAGGCAATGTATTAGCCGCGAGGATGCAGCGCGCTAGAGCAGCGACGACTAGCTCAGAAACGTCTGTCCAACCACCTGCCAGCGAAGGGTGGAGCTGGAGCCCGTGCTCGGCACCAGCATCCGCGCCAGCGTTACCCTTCCTCAAAGACCGCTCGCCCTCCGACAGGCCAGCTACCAGCAGCATTGACATCATGGTGGGCTTTGACTTTGATCACTTATCTAACAAGCTGCTGCTCAAACGTGTTGACCTGAAGAGCCATGCCCGAATGTGCCCTTTTACCTGAGTGCCTATCGGGCACAGGCAACTGCCACATTCGCGCAATCCGAATAAATCGTAGAGGGGGAAACCAAGAACTGAAAGACAACGCAAAGGGCCGTAAACTCTGTAGCCTGTGGCGTCTGCGGAAGATGGGCCCACGCAGGGCCACGCGCCTCTCCAAGGCACCCCCCGTCGTCCGAAATCATGGCGGCCGCCCGAGCGGCGCGAGGAAGCTCCCGAACAGGATGGGCATGCAGGGCGCTGGTGCCTTCCAGGGCAGGCCTGGGCAGGTAGTCGGCGGGATGAGCGAAAGCTCCTCGGGAACACAAGCAGATGACCTCGCTGGTGGCCTCGGCTGTCAGGGCAGCACTAGCTCCATCAACCACCGAGGCGGGGGCCAACTGAGCCCTCTGCTCGGCAACTTCTTAGTCGCTGCATTGCCGCATTATGTGGAGGGTGGGGTCGGGCTCCAGTCGGCGGCGAGGGCACAGCGGGTCCGCGCCATAGCCGCGGCTGGTCGCGCGATCTGCTGTCCAGATAGCGAGCTCGCGCAAGCGCGGATCCAGCCTCGCTGGGCCGGCGTAAACTTCTTGGAAGCACAGGCAGAACGAGGAATATCCGGACACATCCTTTTACCCACTCCCCACTTGCCTCCCAAGTCCTTCTCCAGAGCTCTCATGTAAGCGCCCCGACACAGCGCTTCCAAGCAACCTGGGGGAGGTGGGGCCAAGGGGAATGGTACAACCTCGATCGTCGACAGTGGTCATTGC